AAAAAAAAAAAATGAGGGTGGTCTCAAACTCATGAGCTCAGGCAATCCACCTGCCTCAGCCTCTCAGACCTCTAGGATTATAGGCGTGAGCCAGGTCTCCTGGCATAAATTTCAGGTTTTAATAAAGCACCCAGTCTCAGCACTAATAAACTGAAACACTCCCATTTTGCACATTTTTAAAACTCTAAAGTTGATGGTATCTTCCAATTAATTGGCAGTGTTTTATTTTTCCACATAAAATAATAGTGTGTTTTTACAATGAATAGCACTTGATTTCAACGAAATCAGTGGTAATTCAGTTTCTTTTCTTGTATTCATTCTTTTTTTAGAAACAGAGTCTCGGCTCGGCGCCTGTGGCTCTTCTTGGTGAGGAAACAGTAGATGATGGGGTCTAGGACACAATTGGTGCTGAGGAGGCAAAGGGTGATCTGATGTGCATCGTTAATAGCCTGGTGGAAGTTACTGCTCTGGTAGCCCAGTTCGGCCAGCGTCCAGGGCAGCTGCACCATGTGGTGGGGCACAAAGCAGATGATGAACACGGCCAAGACGGTGCACACCATCCACAGCGCCCGGCGCTTGACTTCAGCATTGCATGGCTGCTGCACCGGCTGGGTGAGCAGCGTCCGGATGATGACCAGGTTGCAGAAGAGGATGATGAGGAAGACGAGGAAGAAGCTGAGCACGATGAAGATATGGATGACGAGGACCGGCAGGCTGCCCTTCTCGTAATGCTCAAAGCAGCGGGTGATGTTGCTCGAGCCGGCCCGATTAAGCCTTGTGTTGGTGGAGTCTAGGATGAGGAAATAGGAGGCGGCGGCCACGATGGCCACCCAGATGACCAGGGACAAAGAGATGCCACGCCTGCGGGTGGTGGCCTGAGCAGTCTTGATGGGCCGTGTTACCGCTTGGAAGCGGTTATAAGTGATGACGCCCAGGAAGGCCACAGAGCAGTAGGTATTGATGAAGAAGAGGCAGCCAGCCAGGTTGCACAGGAATTTGGGGAGAATCCAGTTGCCCTCGTTGTAGTAGTAGATAATCCACAGCGGCAGGGAGATCAAGAAGAGCAGGTCGGCCATGGTGAGGTTCACCATGAAGATCTTTATCTCATTCAGTTTCTTAGAAGGGTACAGGCGGGCAAAGACCCACAGCACATAGCCATTGGAGATGACCCCAAGAACAAAGATGATGCTGTAAACAATCGGGAAGAGAGTGTAGCGGAACTCAGAATCCACACGGGAGGAATCATTTGGCTCCATCATTCTGGACTGGAAGGGTCAGCAGGTCATAGGGTCCTGGCTGTACCTGGAAAACTACACAGGAATTCTGATTAATAAAGGGCGGAGAAGGGCCTGTCTTCTTTCACCAATTCCAAGACTCAAGAGGGTGGTCCAAGAATGAGGGTGGTGGCTCGGCGTCTGTGGCTCAAGTGGCTAAGGCTCCAGCCACATACACCTAAGGTGGC